ACGCACGGCTCTCCAAGGAGTCCTCCGAGCTCCTGGCCGTGGCCGCTGCGGACAGCACCGGCTTTGGGGAGGAGAGGGAAAGCATCCTTTAGGGGGCCCCCCGCAGGATGGCGCCACGAGGTGTGACAGCTGACCCGGTTGTAGGGCGAGGGCACCCTCCCATTCGCATCCGTGACGCGCGGCCGTGGGGGAAGGACACACTTCGTCCCACAGGAGGGGGCCGCTGCCGGTCAGTCTGCCTCGTGGCCTTAGTAATAGAAGCTTTCAGACTCACTGTTGTTATAACTTCCATTGGCACAAACCCCATAAAAATGTTTGAGACGATCTGAGTATAAAGATGGGTCGGGTATCTTACCTGCATGCAAAGGCTGTCATTTGCAGAGAAAATGGCCCCCTCGGGCCGCTCCCGTAGAACATCTGCTCCCAGGTAGTGGAGGGGAGCTCGCTGTCAGGTGAACCAGAGCCCAGTTCGCTTTTAGGGGAAAAGATAAGGATTGACGGGCACGGAGGAGCCCAGAGACTGACGGCAGATGGAGAACTAGCGCAGCGACACCACCTGAGTAGTCAGGTTGCTTATCAAAGGGTTTTTAACTTTATGTGGAAAAGACATGACAGAAGGACTTCAGAACTGATAACAAAGTGGGTCCAGGGCCCCAAAGTCGCGCCTCAGGAGCTGCGGTGTGGCCTGGAGGGCGGGGCGTGACCTCCAGTCTCAGACTGGCTTCCAGCACGGCCACCGGCCCGGGACCCTCCAGCCTGCCCTGTAGCTTTAAATCGTGAGCCCTGTGTCCCTCTGTGCCCGGGACCTTCCAGCCTGCCCTGTAGCTTTAAATCGTGAGCCCTGTGTCCCTCTGTGCCCGGGACCCTCCAGCCTGCCCTGTAACCTTAAATCGTGAGCCCTGTGTCCCTCCGCCCCCAGCAGTGAGGAGGAACCTGACTTCTTCTGGGGGGGGGGGGGGGGGGGGGCTCAGCAGTGCTCAGGGCTGAGAGGAGGAGGAAGTGGTGCGTCAGGGCAGTGACGTTTAGGCAGAACTCACCCTGGCCTCCCGTTCCAGGGCGGAGCTGAGAAACTTCATCTTCTAAATCCGCATGTTAATGCTGGGGGATCCTAAGAAGGAAGAATGTTTTAAAAAGTTGAACAACATACAAAGCAAGGGTGACAAGAGGGCGAAGCTGGTGAGGCTGTGGCCGGGCACGGCCGTGGGCAGAGGAGGAGGAGGGCATTGGAGGTTCCATGGCGGGAGCCCCTCCCCCGCCAGCGCAGGGGTTTCTCACTCACGTAGATGAATTCTTGCAGGTCACTGGTTGCGAAATGTTAGATGTGATTGTAGGTGTGTGATTACCTAGATCTAGTGTCACATTGTGATGGTTTCACTTCACGACCTTCATTCATGTGCCGAATAAATTCTTAGCTTGACCAGTCATTGTGCGACTAGTTGCTGTTTGGGGTCTCACCGCCCGAGGCTCAAGTGTCTAACTTTTTCTCGTTGGGGTTATGCTGCTTGTGATGCTCCCACTGTGGTATTCAGTGCACGAAAAACTAGAAAAATAAAGAATCGCATGCTAGTCTGGCTCCGAGTGTTTATTCACTGCGGGGGTAACGGGGCTCGTTTTGTGTTGTTTTTTTCATGTGTCTGGAGTCTGTTAGGGGCGTCCAGGCTCAGGGCGCAGCCAGGCGCCGGCAGCTCTGAGCCGCCCACAGTCCCTGGGAGAGCGCGGCTCTCGGTCCGTCCAGTGCGCGCGGAGCTCTCAGCAGCGGTGCCGGCGGCAGCTCTGTGCCGTGCACGTCTGTTGCTGCAAGAAGTAGGTTGTCCAGATCCTGGGGGCTATCGATTATTCGATGAACTATCTGGAGAAGTTTGCTTCTCCATCGGTTACAGAAATCAACAAACCAGAGCCACACCATCATCCCATGGAATCTGCAAGTCTGTGTGTGTGTGTGTGTGTGTGTGTGTGTGTGTATTTATAATGTGTAGTAGCTCGGCCTGGTTCTCACATGTATGTTTATACAGTGTAGCTCGGCCTGGTTCTCACACGTGCAGAGCTGTGTTCGGCCGGTGGAACATGCTAGGAAAGAACACCGGTGCCCTGATCTCGTAGCCCTTCCGTCCCGCAGCGTCAGTCTTACGTGTTTGATAAACCACTTGACCTTTGCTGGAAGCCAGATGGTCTGTTCACGTGGTACCAGTTGAGCCAGGCCCTTCCCTGGGGCGTGTGGGGCGGCACCCGTCACGAGGGGAACGTGTGTTTGTGGTGTGTGTTACCTGAGCTTCATGTGGTGGTAAGAGTAATGGAATTGCCTGGCCTGATACGTTCAGAACCTTGTTTGCTAAAGTCCTCACCTCCCTAGTACATGGGCCACTCTTTAGACTGCATGGTACAGCGCTGCAGTCAAATCTATTGTAATCGTCTTTTTCTTGCAAACACTAACCATTAGAAAATAGTTTTTGAATGAAATTATTTTTTTCTTTTGGCTAAAAGGCTAAATTTAAATAGTTTTAAGACTACATAATTGTTGGTAATACCAGGCATTCTCAGCCTATTTAGAAGTTTCCCCGAGGTGAAAACCCCCGAATTCCTGGGTAACTGACTAAATCTATGTCACTACCAGGAACAGCCAGGACTAGGGGGCGCTGTTCCGTCACCGCAGGGACCGTGGCTTTGAGGGAATAGCCCGGAACTGGGACCGTGCAATCAGATCCACTCCTGGCAAAGGCTCGGTCCCTCCTGCCCGTCCAGGCTCAGGCTGCGGGCAGCAGGGGAGAGGCATGTTTGCTCCGGGTGGGGGTGGCTAAATGAAATGGTTGCCTCTTTAATTCCTCAGCCTTGCCAGGAGGGACCATCATCACACGAATGAATGGAAAACTAGAAAGAAATTTCTATGTAATGTGGGCGGCACTGGATGGACTTCTGATGGCTCGTCACTTCGAAAGGTTGAGAGCCCTTGGCTGAGGCCGATGAACGAGAGGTGGAATGTAAATCCTGTGTAACTGAACGCTCTCCTGCCTAGGCACACCTGCCACCCCTGGGAGACGCCGCTGCGGAGGGTCCGGTGTGAGCGCAGGTAGGCGGGCATCCCCTCACAGCACGCGGAAGCCGGCGTTGGAAACAGCTGTCGCCACGAGAGAATTTACATTCGCGCCATTTTAATAGAGTTACGCCAGAAACAGCTAGAGCAGCGGTTCTCAACCTGTGGGTCGCGACCCCTTTGGCGGTCGAACGACCCTTTCACAGGGGTCGCCTAAGACCATCCTGCATATCAGATATTTACATGACGATTCATAACAGTAGCAACATTACAGTTATGAAGTAGCAACGAACATAGTTTTATGGTTGAGTCACAACATGAGGAACTGTATTTAAAGGGCCAGAAGGTTGAGAACCACTGCTGTAGAGTAATGGCTAGAAATCCACCCCTGACACCACAAAGCCTAAGTGTGCAGGGAGCATTACTAGCGAAGCCCAGTGCTGGTTAACTCAGCTCAGCTCAGCTGCCCGGGGCCTGGTTAGCTCAGCTCCGCTGCCCGGGGCCTGGTTAACTCATCTCATCTCCGCTGCCCGGGGTCTGGTTAACTCGGCTCCGCTGCCTGGGGCCTGGTTAACTCATCTCATCTCCGCTGCCCGGGGCCTGGTTAACTCGGCTCCGCTCAGCTGCCCGGGGCCTGGTTAACTCAGCTCCGCTGCCCGGGGCCTGGGAGGCCAGCAGCCTCATGGCCAGGGCATCCTGTGCTTGGCGCTGGGAGCACAGCACTAGCTGAATGGGGCCTGGGTGGCAGCAGGACGAGCTCCATCCTGAATTCCCAGTCACTGTGTGGCGTGAAGAGAGGAAAGAATTGACAAGAATAAAGGGTCAGTAGAGAAGGAAGAGCAACTGTTTGCAGGCTAATAGTAGGATGATTCTTTAAAAAACCTTTTTTTAAATGTTATTATTCGTTTCAGAGAGAGGAAGGGAGAGAGAGAAACATCAATGATGAGAGAGAACCACGGATCGGCTGCCTCCTGCACGCCCCGCACTGGGGATCGAGTCTGCAGACTGGGCATGTGCCCTGACCGGGAATCGAACCTCAACCTGGTTCACAGGCCGGTGCTCAACCACTGAGCCACCCGGTCAGGGCTATTAGGACTTAGTTTTTCCTGGATCTTAACAAAGCGTGAGTTAATATATCAAACACTGATCAGAACGTGAGTAAGTGAAATTTTACTTTAAAAAAGAATGTAGAGCTCCATGCTCCACGTTCGAGTGAAGACGCTGTTTGAAATCATTGAGACCCCCTTGCTTACTACCATTTTCTAGCTTTAACCGACTTTATGCTCATTTACCTCATTTCCTTTCAAGGCAACAGGCTCTGGATCTCAGCGCCTGCCCGCAGCCTGGCCCTCCGACCGCGGCTGAGCTTCCGACACTGGCTCCTCGCCAGACGCAGGGGAGGAGAAGAGACTGCGCACCAGTCAGCGGCCTGCTGCCCGCGGCGGGAGAAGGGGCCATGCGCCCCACCGGGTTCTTGGTTCTTGGTTGTTAAATTTGAGTTGTTTTTGGTGAAATGTTCCTTTTAGAGAATTTTAGGTAGAAGCCCACACGTAGAGCGAAAAGCATGT